GTATTTATTATTATAATTTAAGTATTTTATTAGATTTATTATTAATTATTTAAGCTTTTTTGAAAATTAAAAATGTAGTTTTCTTGTCAATGCTCTGGGCGCGACCTTCCCGATTTGGACGAAGCGCGCTGTCTGCCCTGCAACCATTTCAAAGAACAGTCTTTTCAGTTAACACGACAACAAGCTCTTAGTTGCTGAAATTATGCAGCAATAACAGTACATCGCAAACCTTGATATTGACATCTTCTGTTGTCTATAAGTACTTTAATGGTATTACATTGTACGCCTTATTGCATTCTCGATATCACATACTGTACCACAGCCGCGACAGATCATTTTGCTCATTAACCTCGTAAGCCCTTCACTTCACCTAGAAGCTCTCTCCCCATCTTAATCATCTTAAGGTCCGTCGCTTTTTAAAGCCGTTGAATCCAGCCTTAACCCATAACATATCACCACCATGTGTAGGAAGATCAGTTATAAATGGACTTGCGGTCATAGCTACCGACCTTCTGAAATGGATCCGCTATACCCGGAGCATTGTCCAGCAGCCGTCCAAGCCAATCGGCGTATGGCGGGAACACATCAATTACTCCCTTGTCGAAATCCACGGACGACAAAACAACAAGCATTGGGCCATTGCGGGCGGGTACAATGCCTGATTTCGCATATGTTGAAACATGGAGCAAATTGTTGCAGCTGTGGCAACTTAACGTTCCCCGACGAAAGAGGTAAATGTCGAGGTTGCAGGCATAAAATTTGCCAGTCTTGCAGCCCATAAGCTTCTTCTTACTTGTCAATCCTGGGCTTTTGTGGGGGGTCTTTTTTCGTTCAACCGCATGAAATTAATTCCTAGAGCATGGAAGTTGGTGGAGGATCTGAGACATGTCTTAGGGGTTGCAATGTAATAGGTTGGTTAGTCAGCAGCGTGAATTAGATATTTGAACTCATGGTTCCCCCGCGCAACATCTGTGAATACATTAACCTCTGTTTCTTTACTTACCCCACCATGATTTCCAGAACCATCTCCTATTCGACGAGTGATCAGGACGACAACTGCTTGATTACTGTGCGCTATGCTGAGGCTATATTCTATCTTCAATGGTCGCCACAAGATCTAGATTCAGCACCCGAGCTATTACAAGATTATTTGGCACACCTTGACGAACTAAAGAACGAGGATGACGACCATAGTAGCTCAGACAGACTTATACTACCTTTCGAAGCTCTCATAGATCAGCTAGCCCCAGCAAGCAAGCAGGGTCCATCTTCCCTTCATGACTACCTATATCCTCGATGGTTTTTGCTCAAAGCAACTGTCAATGCGGACCGCCGGACTATCCTGCCAGTGCACATAAAGGAGGAGAACTCTCCGTTCTGTCAACCTGGCTTGGCCCTTTACTCTAAACAGATAGGCAGCTTAGATCTCGGCAAATGGGTACCGAGACTATTCTCGTCACACGAGATTGAACTGCCAGCAGACGCAGAAAAACATCCACTTCTACACCGCCCGACCAAGGTAATCACAAAGGAGTCGCAGACGGAATACTTCTTTAAAGGTCTCGGCCCGGGATTTGAGGGGACTATCAACGAGCTTGTGGCGCTTCGAACCATTGATGAAGCCGCCGAGTGCGGAACACTCGCTTCTGATGCTCGGTTCTGCCGCTTATATGGCCTTGTGGTGGACACGGTAGGTCCACGCAGGTTTGATAAGCGTGTAGTTGGCATGTTGCTCAACTACATTAAGCCCAAACGGCCCGGGATACTTGGTACTCTCCAATACGTTGCCTACGAGGAACACAGTCGCAAAAATCTTCACCGTTGGGCTAACGACCTGAACGAAATCCTCGGCGCTTTACATCGAGCTGGATGCATATGGGGGGATGCCAAACCAGAGAATGTGCTTGTTGATCATGACGACAATGTTTGGATTGTTGACTTTGGGGGTGGCTATACACCTGGCTGGGTAGATGAAGAGCAGCAGGGTACACAAAGGGGCGACTTAGCAGCTATGGAGAAAATACAACAGTGGCTTGAACAACGGGAGCTCGGCGAGGCTAGGTTGACTTGATTGAACAGGGATCAGCAATTACTCTGAGCTAAAGGAATGTATTAAATAGCTGGGTGAACTAAGATATCTAATATAAGGGTAGATTAAACTACCCTTTATTTAGTACTTATTTGCTCTATAAATATAGTAAAGTATTAACGAAAAAACTATATTTTAAATTTTTAAAGAAGCTTAAATATTTTATTTAAAGAGCTAGCTAGAAAAGGCATATAATAAAAGAAAGATAAAAGAGTGTATTTTAGCTTATTCTTTTAAACGATCTAAACGGGAATTTTACCTCTATATATAACTTAAATATTAGAAAATATTAAATAATTAATTTCCAAATATTTAACTATATTTACTTAATCTAATAAGGTTATTTTAATTGTATTTTAGCTAATAGTACCCTATAATACGAAAGATACCCTTTTATAACCTCTATAAACTATAATAGACCTATATCCCTTTAGCTGTGCTAAGGTGCTAGTCAGGTATCGAATTCTGGTTTTAGCTAATTAAAAACCCTACATTTAAAGATACTTAACCCCGCTAGGAAATAATAAGATAATAGAAGTACTAGCAATGCTGTGAGTTACAAAGAGCTACATCGCATATATTACAGCTGAACCTAGCGTATGGGGCCTTTTTAACGCTAAAAAGGTACCCGTTAGGTATCGCAGAAAAAATGGGGCCGATACCTGACTGGCACCTTAGCACAGCCAAAGGGATGGA